CCTGTGTCACCTGTGTCACCTGTGTGTCACCTGTGTCAGCTGTGTCTCCTGTGTCACCTGTGTCACCTGTGTCACCTGTGTGTCACCTGTGTCACCTGTGTCACCTGTGTGTGTCACCTGTGTCACCTGTGTGTCACCTGTGTGTCACCTGTGTGTCACCTGTGTCACCTGTGTCACCTGTGTGTCACCTGTGTCACCTGTGTGTCACCTGTGTGTGTCACCTGTGTGTGTCACCTGTGTGTCACCTGTGTCACCTGTGAACAAACTGCTGCCACTGCAGAGAGGTGGGGTCCTCTCCCGCCATATCCCCCACCCCATTCCCGTTATTCCCATTGTTACTCCTATTGTTACTCCCAGATTTTTCCCATCATTCCCAGATTTTTCCCATCATTCCCAGGTTATTCCCAGGTTATTCCCAGATTTTTCCCGTTGTCATTCCCAGATTTTTCCTGTCATTCCCAGGTTACATCGGGGTGGTGAACCGGAGCCAGAAGGACATCGACGGCCGCAAGGACATCCCCATTATTCCCATTGTTACTCCCATTGTTACTCCCATTGTTACTCCCATTGTTACTCCTGTTATTCCTGTTGTCATTCCCAGATTTTTCCCAGGTTATTCCCAGATTTTTCCCGTCATTCCCATTGTTTTTCCCGTTATTCCCAGGTTATATCGGGGTGGTGAACCGGAGCCAGAAGGACATCGACGGCCGCAAGGACATCCCCACCATCCCCATTACTCCCATTGTTACTCCCATTGTTACTCCTGTTATTCCCAGGTTATTCCCAGGTCATTCCCAGATTTTTCCTGTCATTCCCAGGTTACATCGGGATTGTTAACCGGAGCCAGAAGGACATCGACGGCCGCAAGGACACCCCCATTACTCCCATTGTTACTCCCATTATTGTTACTCCCATTGTTACTCCCATTATTGTTACTCCCATTGTTACTCCCATCATGCCCAGATTTTTCCCAGGTCATTCCCAGATTTTTCCTGTCATTCCCAGATTTTTCTGTCATTCCCAGGATACATCGGGGTTGTTAACCGGAGCCAGAAGGACATCGACGGCCGCAAGGACATCCCCATTACTCCCATTGTTACTCCCATTGTTACCCCCATTGTTACTCCCATCACTCCCAGATTTTTCCCATCATTCCCAGGTTTTTCCCGTTGTCATTCCCAGATTTTTCCTGTCATTCCCAGGTTACATCGGGGTGGTGAACCGGAGCCAGAAGGACATCGACGGCCGCAAGGACACCCCCACCATCCCCATTACTCCCATTGTTACTCCCATTGTTACTCCCATTGTTACTCCCATCACTCCCAGATTTTTCCCAGGTTATTCCCAGGTCATTCCCAGATTTTTCCCATCATTCCCATTGTTTTTCCTGTCATTCCCAGGTTATATCGGGGTGGTGAACCGGAGCCAGAAGGACATCGACGGCCGCAAGGACACCCCCACCATCCCCATTACTCCCATTGTTACTCCCATTGTTACTCCCATTGTTACTCCCATCACTCCCAGATTTTTCCCAGGTTATTCCCAGATTTTTCCCGTCATTCCCAGATTTTTCCCGTTATTCCCAGGTTACATCGGGGTTGTGAACCGGAGCCAGAAGGACATCGACGGCCGCAAGGACACCCCCATTATTCCCATTGTTACTCCCATTGTTACTCCCATTGTTACTCCCATTGTTACTCCCATTGTTACTCCCATCGTTACTCCCATCACTCCCAGATTTTTCCCAGGTTATTCCCAGATTTTTCCCGTCATTCCCAGATTTTCCTGTCATTCCCAGGTTACATTGGGGTTGTTAACCGGAGCCAGAAGGACATCGACGGCCGCAAGGACATCCCCATTACTCCCATTGTTACTCCCATTATTGTTACTCCCATTGTTACTCCCATCATGCCCAGATTTTTCCCAGGTCATTCCCAGATTTTTCCCGTCATTCCCAGATTTTTCCTGTCATTCCCAGGATACATCGGGGTTGTTAACCGGAGCCAGAAGGACATCGACGGCCGCAAGGACATCCCCATTACTCCCATTGTTACTCCCATTGTTACTCCCATTGTTACTCCCAGATTTTTCCCATCATTCCCAGATTTTTCCCGTCATTCCCAGATTTTTCCCGTTATTCCCAGGTTATATCGGGGTTGTTAACCGGAGCCAGAAGGACATCGACGGCCGCAAGGACATCCGCGCCGCTCTGGCCGCCGAGCGCAAATTCTTCCTTTCGCACCCCTCCTATCGCCACATGGCCGAGCGCATGGGGACCCCTCACCTCCAGCGCGTCCTCAACCAGGTATCCCCGAAATTCCACGGGAAAAAAAACCGGGAATTTTATCCCGGATC